TTTTTTTTTTTAAGTTTATGTCTTTATTTTGAGAGAAACGGAGCATAAGCAGGGAAAGGGGCAGAGAGAGAGAGGGAGAATCCCAAGCAGGCTCTGCACTGACAAACACAGAGTTCAAACTCACTGCGCAGACCCTGACACAGGGTTCAACTCCTAAAACTGTGAGATCATGACCTGAGACAAAACCAAGAGTCAGAAGCTTAACCAACTGAGCCTCCCAGGTGCTCAAAATGCCATGACTATTATGTAAGAAAGTGTTACCTTGCAAACAAAGCATGACCCATAACCAAGGTTAAGAATATTTATAGTTTACTGTTCTGCTATCCATATAGCAAAGCAAAGATACTTGCAAGATGTTTTATAACACGTGATGGGTAGAGTCAACCTTAAAGAACAGCATAAGAGAGAATATTGTAGTTTAAAAAAAAAAAACAAGTGTGGTCTACCTATAGTTTCTACTGCAAATACTTCTGAATTACTTCTGTGCCTCTTAGATATGATTGCACCATTTCTACATTGTATGCAGATCATTCAGGTACTTATATTCGTAGCAACATGTTAACTGGATGTCTGTTTTACTAGACATCTAGATTTCTACAGCAGAGCATCCCAACCAATGTGCTCATTACAAGTATGTCAGGATATAGATCCCCTCAGACTTCAAGGTGGTTGTGTTCTCAAGCAGGTTCTCTCCACCCCAGCAGTCTTTTCCACATATCTCAATGTGGCATAAAAACATTATCATTTTGTATATCAAGCCATTTAAAAAAAATCGTTGGGAAGTACTGCTGCTAGTGTCTGAAGTGTTAAGAAGCAAAACTAAAAACAAGTAGGTAATGCCATAGCCACTACCTCCCATTACAGTAATTCTAGCCTTTGGTAGATAAATCAGTAATATTCCCTCCTTTCTCCCACTGTAGCAGCTACTGAGAGCCTGAGGGAAATTTTCAATAATGATGCCAATGTTGCTGAGGCTTGGAAAGAGGTTTAAAAAACCTCATCTTAAATGTCTCTTGCAACAACCCACCATATCAACATGAATGAATTTTCTTAGGAGTGATAAACAGACCAAACAATAGGAAAACACTTATCTATTTTTAATAGAAAAAAAGGGGTAGGTAAAAATATTCTGGATTGGTACTTCTGGTATATGTCCCCCCCTACCCACAATTACTCTAAAATGAGACTTAATTTTCATACAGACCTTGCGATTTATCAGAATCATCCTCTAGGTCACAGGTGATTGGTTTCAAGGGCTGCTGTTCAGAATCAGGCTCCTAAAGAAAGGAATAACACAAACACTTCAACACATAATTTTATCAATAGAGACAAGAACATAAACATTAAATTTCTCAAAGAAGCCTGAAACAGCGAAAGATTTTAAGTGGCAACAGCTTCACATCTATATGTACAGCTGCATTACTATCAATATTATACAACCCTCAGTAAAAACAAGTATTGCTCTCTAATGTCCTGTGACAGTGACTGAGTCATCAAATTTACACCACACTTTATAGTGTATTGCAGTAAAGAAGGAAAACTATTTAATGTTTAATGGAACAAGTTTCAGTTATTTAGAAAATTCACTAATGCAGAAAGATATAAATCCAGGTAATTACAGATAAATAATTTAATAAAAAAACAAATGTTTGAACTTTTAAAAATTACTTCAGCATCAGAAAGACTAGTACTTTAAATAACTTTAAGGGACTATTCTCTAGAACAGATACACAGAGAAACAAATTGATAAGCACATCATGTAAGACTTCTCTGCCCTCCAAGAATTACTCTAAATTATTCTGATAGCAAGGTAAATTCTAATACCAGCAACAGGGTAACGGAACTTAAAAAGACAAATTATGCAGTAAGTAATTCACCTTTACACTACAGTTCTCGGGACTAGACTGACATGAGCCCTGTTGCTGCAATGATGGGGATGGTGATGGTGACGGTTGTCTCTGTTCCTCTTTTTTCCGTTCGTATACTCGAACACGAGCACAAGTCATCATACTTTCAAAGTACAAGTAGACTGGATCCTTGTCCTCTTCCCGAATCTGTAAATTCCATACAACAAAACATTCCATATGTTGGAGGAAAAAAAATGCTAGACTCCAAAAGGAAAAGGATGTTTTAAACTTTCTGTTACAACATTTGAAATTTTTAAATGCAAATTTTAAGAAGTACAGTTATTATGGGCTGTATCTTGGAAAGTCAGAAAGGATTTGATTCTTTATCAAGAAATGTGACATTCCATTAGAGTAGCACTTCTCCAATTATCTGCAATGAAGGATTATTTCTTAATTACCAGTCCAACACAGACTGATCCTTTTGTAAAATAAGTTTCTAGAAAAACAAAAGATACGCAAAATACAAGCCCAAGTTGTTTAGTATTAGATTTAATACACATAAAATTACTCTATCAAGTTGCTGTTAAGTTTCTAAATATTTACTCTCATTTTCTAGACATATTTCATCACACTCATAACAAATAGTTTTGGATCAGCACTGAGACCAGCACAGAGACCACACTGAATAGCATTGTACTAAAGCATCTTTCGTCAATTTAATGGACTGGGAAGACTCAAATGGATTTAATAATCACAAATGCTTAAGCTCTTAACAGAACCATCAGCTCTTTGACCTATCAATCTTCATAGTCCTATGCCAACAATTATTTTAAATCTTGAACTTTACTGTTACCTGTATATTAAAAAAATAGCCTTAAAAAGATGAGTTATTTCTTAAAACTTTTCTTAATGCTTTCCCACTAACAATATATAGTATATCTGAATTAATTATTCTACACTATTGGAATAAGAAGTTTCTTCAGAAGGCTTTTTTTCTCCCTCTCCCTTAAAAATTTGCTGGTCATGTTTAAAAACAAAACAAAATAAACAAAAAACCCACAACTTTTTATGATCTTCTTGAAGAGAGATTTGGCTATCCTTAAGAATTACTACCATTCACTCTACTTTTATGACATCTCTGTGCCAGCAATTAGGCTGATTAAATCAGAAAGACCGATGGCTTACAGACATATTACTTGAAAGCAAAATGATTCACAGAATATAAACCAAAAATATGGTTGAAATCCATTATCTTTACAAACAATTTTTGTAGCTTGCAATAAAAGATGAAACTCTGGGCTTACCACAGGATTGGGTTTGGGAGTATATGCCCGTGCAGGTTTAATTCCAGTGAGCAGTTTGCCCTTCACAGTAGTAGGTAAAACTTCTGGCTGAGGCAACAACAACGGCTTCATCGGCTCAATGACAGAAGGCGTTGGGATATAAACTGGCTCTGGATCTACTTCACCTTCTACTTTCACCCATAACGGGTAATGTCGAACAGGCTGTTCAGGCTCTGTTTCACATATAGCTTAACAAAAAGAATAATGAGATTTCAGGTGCCTTTGGCAACAGAAGTTCACAGGCACCACCAAAACAAAATGTGCTACCTCACAGAAAGCAGTAACTCATGAAAACAACCTAACAGATGCCCCCTGAAAAAATCTTTAGTTGCCATTATACACCTTAATTTATTCATCTATTAACCAAATATTTGTTGAATACCTATTTTAAGTCAGATACTGTTTTAGGCACTAGAGTGAACATAGGTAGCTATGAGGAAAACAAAGTTCTTGCCCTCACAGAGTGTGCAATCCAGTAGGAGAAAACAAATTTAACATTTAATATCAAGTAATGGTAAGCACCACACCAAAAAATATAGCAGGGTAAGGAATGAAGAGTTAACAGATGCTATTAGATTTAGCATGATCAGAAAAGGCCTTCTGTTATCCTGGAAAAATCATTCTATACTACACTCTTTAATTTTATAAATAAAACAAATATTTATTAAACCTTACTCCGTACCTATTCTAAACACTTAATTATGTTTTAGCTCACTTAATTGTCACAATAGCCCCAGAGACATTATTATTCCCATTTTGCCAAAGCTGAGGTTCAGGAGTCCAACAACAAGGGGCAGAACCAGGATCAAACCCAGTCAATCTGGCTCCAGAGACACAGCTTGTTACTGTGCCCTCTGGTAACAACACGTATTCAAAAGACAGCCTGATCTCAGCAAAGAAGCAAAAATAGACCAATGGAAAAGCAATGGAACCAGAGATGAAATCATACTGTCAAGAAGGTCTACACAAAGTAAAACATGTATCATTACTTACTCAAATTAAATGGAGGATCTAGGTTAAGAGGCAACCAGCTTTTATTCTCTAAGCAAACTTCCCATTCCCAAAGATAGTAGAGAAACCAAAATTGTATTTTGCATTTTAATGGTCGGTCCTCAGAGAGAATGTAGCTGGTTCCAAACCTAAAATCCAAAATCTTTGCCTGCAGTAACATAAAACGTGACTGAGTAGCATTCACATTTAATTCAAATACTTAGCTCAGGGCGGCTGGGTGCCTTAGTCGGTTCAACAGTTAAACGTCCGACTTTGGCTCAGGTTATGATCTCATGTTTTATGAGTTCAAGCCCCATATCAGGCTGAGTGCTGACAGCTCAGAGCCTGGAGCATGCTTCAGATTTTGTCTTCCTCTCTCTCTGCCCCTCTCCCCCTCAAAAATAAATAAACATTAAAAAAAAATTTAAATCAAGTATTTAGCTCAATTTATCTTTCATAATAAAGCAGAAATCGAAATTGCAACCTGATTTCATAAAGTATATTTGTTGTGAATATTAAGACTCCCCTAAAAAACAACTATCTAAAGGGTTCCTAAGGCTAACATCATTCAGAGCATAACCACAAAATGTTGAGTATGTAGAGATTAAAACAGAATAAAATCTTCAGAGCTAGAAAGTGATTGACCCAATTATTTAGCTAGTTATAGCTGTTTCTGTGTAGGTAGATAAGGTTAGGGATCCCGGAGGAAAAAAGAACAGACATGGCTTTCTTAACATAAGTCATTATGTTAAGGGCCCCACCCATTTTTGTGATCTATGCCATATCAGCATTACTTGTCCATGCACACTTCTTGCAGAATTTCCTAGGGGTTGGAATTACAAAGAAACGCAAAAACCTATCATAGTTAAGGATTTTAAGGGAACAAAGTGAATGCAAAAGCTGGTCTCTACCAGACCAGGAAACAGCTGAACTGTATCAATGGTAAAATTCTCAGTGCTGTTTCAAAAGTAAACATTGACCTATCGCACATTCTTGAGTTGTTTTTGCAGGATTTAAACCCCTTTGAGCACTCTGAAAGCGGACTAACTGGAGCAGAGAATTGATGATGCCAACCCTTGCTGACCCTCATGGCTTAAATCAACTAGGACCTGGATTCTGTCCATGAAGGATGACTTTTACCCCAATTCTATACAGAACTCTCCTTTGTCAAGCCCCATCCACAAATATGCATGTGCCCTTAGCTTAAAACTTACCCAATTTTGTTGTTTGAGTGGACACTACTTTAGGAAACATACTCTTGCTGTTCTCCTTACCTGTTACAAGTAAAACCTTTTCTTTCCCTGTTCTTTGGCCTGGTTGTGTCTTTTGGGTGGACAACCAACAAGAGGCAAACCCAGTTTCAGGTAACATCTATTATCCAACTATTATAACCTCATTCATTTATCACATAATTCACAAAGGCTTCTAACACCCAAGTATTCATGTATTTCAATGTCTACTATGTATCAGACTTTGCAGGTACGATAATGAACAACAATGACAAAAATCCTGGGCTTCATGGAGCTTACATTTAAGTTGGGGGAAGACAGCGAGACAGGCAATAAACAAGATTAATAAGGAAAATATGCTGGGTTGTGGTAAGTGCTTATGGGGGGGGGGAAGCAGACAGGAAATAAGTGGTAATGTATAGTGATTATTATTGTAGGACTATGTATTTTGAGGGAGGAGTGCTGCACTTTTCAAAAGGGTAACCAGGGATGCCTTCACAATGGAAATGGGTATTTACAAAGGCTATACCACTAATTTGATAACAACTTTATTGTTTAGTGTTGCTAATTATTTCATACACATATTAATTCTATTATAAAAATAAAAGTGCCTTCAGAGCAAACACTATAGACTTTGACAGCTTTCAATCTCTTTAAGGATTTTTAAAGCCTCTGTAAGTAAGGATTATACTAAGTAAAGGTTCCATTTACAAAATAGGTAGCACAGTAGTTCAGAAGAAACTTCTTAAAATATTTTAAGATATCTTAATTCCTCATGGAAATCAAAGACAACTCTAAAATTTGAAGTGCAGACAAAGGGGAAAAGGGTGTGCTTATTATAAACAAGAGAATTCATAAAAGGAGCTGATTGGGAAGGGTAAAGTTCAGTTCTGTTCAGGACATGAAAGACTGAAGTGCGAGCAACATCATCAAATAGGGCACACAATAAAAATCAGAAATGCTGGGGTACCTGGTTGGCTCAGTCCCAAGAGCATGTGAGTTTGATCTCTGGGTAGTGAGTTTGTGCCTCACATTGGGTGTAGAGATTCCTTACATGAATAAATAAAAACTTTAAAAAATCAGAACTGTCAATGGCAGAGACTACATCTGACGTCATGAAAATGGACAGAGAACAAATCAATTCCTCATACTTCATCAGCCCACTGTCCACTTGCTTCCTTTACACAGCTTGGAATTCAAGATAACAGTACTTCTCCGCTCCCCTTCACAATATACTAGTGATCCTCCTACCCTTCACCTGAAACTCAGGAGAAAAGGAGCTACCAAAGGCAGAATTAAGGGGAGAACCAGAATGGCATATATCCAGAGCCAAGAACAGAAACCCGTTATCAAGAAAAGTGGTATCGTATCCCCTAATTTCTATTCAAATACCTCCTAATGTTACCTCACCAAGGTCTCCGAGCATTATCACTGTCTTCCAGGTTCTCAATAAGCCTTTCTTCATGACACTTAAAACATTATGGCACAATTGTTACCGTGGCACTTAAAATTACAGTAAATACATATCTATATATTTACCACATACCTGTTTTGTCAAACTGACAGTAACTTCTTAGACATGGGACTTCATTTTAATTGTATCTTACCTCCTGTCACTCTTAGCAGGGACCATAGCAGTTGCGCCATAAATGAACAGTTTTAGATACAGAAGTCCTAGAAAACTGCTATGCTAGTAAACAGCATACTATATTCCTCTCCCTCCATTTTTGTATGTGTTTTAAACCTTTTTATTGTGAAATGTAATACCCAATTAAGTGCAAAAACAAGGTATATACAACTTAAAACATATTAACAAATATATACCTGTGTTAACACTATACAGGTCAAGAAATGAAATACTGCCAACAACCCCAGGAGCTCTTGCATGACCTTTCTCAGTCACAATTCCTTTCCATAAGAGAATCACTTACATGATAGCCTCCTCTCCACTTTCCTTTCTCAAGCCAAATAACACACCCCTAAATATCACAGCTTCATTTTGCCCGATTTTGAAAGTTATATAAATGTGACCACAGAGATGTATTACTCTGCCTACACTTCCTCTTCGCCCAACATATTATTTGTAAAATGCAACCATGCTGTTCCAGCTACCTATGTAATTATTTTTACTGTCATGTACTACTCTGATTATTCATACTATTATCCATTCTAATGTTATTAAAATATCTGGGGTTGTTTTCATGTTTTAGCTTCTATGAATCATGGTACCACAAACAATCCTAAAAAAAGTACTTCTGCTGATTACTTTGCAAACAATTAAATCTAGGGCATGTGAATCATCAACTTTAGAAAATACTGCCAAACTATTTTCCCAAGTGGTTATACCAATTAACATTTCCATCATAAAATTTTAATTTTAACTATTCTGGCAGGCATGCCATGGAATCTTGCTGTGGATTTGTTTTGTATTTCTCTGACCAAGAATGAGATGTTCAACATCCTTTTTTATGAAGTACCTCTAAAACTCTTGACTACTTAAAAAAAAAAAAAGTTTTTTTAATGTCTATTTTTGAGAGAGACATTAGGAGCAGAAAGAGAGCGACACACAGAATCCAAAGCAGGCTCCAGGCTCTGAGCTGTTAGCACAGAGCCCAATGCAGGGCTCGAACTCACGAGCTGAGAGATCATGACCTGAGCCGAAGTTGGACGCTCAACCAACTGAGCCACCCAGGCACCCCTTGACTATTTTTTATGGGACTGTTTAACTCTCCTTAATATACAGACATCTCTACATTTTCTGGACATAGGTCCTTAGTCAGATATTGCAAATATCTGTTCTCTCACTGTACCATACATTTTCACTTGCTTAACGTCCTAAAGACATGAATTTCTCATTTTTAACTAATAAAGTGTATTAATCTTTAATGATTATTTTCTTCTATTATACTGAAATCTTTTCCTAATGTGAGATCATACATATATTCTTGTATATTACAAGAGTTGGATTA